ACACACACACACACACACACACACACACACACACACACACACCACACATCAACCTCCTATGCTATGAATACAGCAAGAGTTGTCTGCCTCAGCTCTGCAGACCTCTTTCTCCCTGACGTTTGGCAGATATTCTTGATGGGGATGCTCATCGAGGGCTTTGCTCACAGACTTCTCCCAGGCTCCCATTCTTGGGTGGATGGTCCCCTTCAGCTCCCTGAGCTGCTGCCTACTCCCAAACTGGGTCTCGCTGACTTTACTCTGTCAGCGAATACTCCCCATGTTCTTGTTGCTCACTACAGGGGCAGCTAAGAAAATCACCTTCTGTCGAAGCCACAGTCCCTCTACCAGGCTTCCCTCTCCTCTCACCATTACATGCCATCGACTTGTACAACCACTAACCACCAGTTGCTTCCTTCACGTAGCTCTTTGCTTCCCGGTCCTCTAAGAGCAGCCCTGCTTACCATCACCATTGGCCCCAGAGTCAAGGCCAGGGGCTTGCTAAGGGAGCTCTCGGTTAACCTGGGATAGACACCAGAAGTCTCTTCCTTCTTTCCTGCTTCAGTCCTCTTTCCAATGACTCATTTTCAAGAAGAAGCCATCATAGGTCTCAGATCCTACTCTCACTCTAGTTTTAGAAAATGGTGTCTTCTAATTTCACACGTGTGAAATATAAACCAAACAATGGGAATAAGAAAAAAAAAATAGAATTACATTATCAAGGAGTGCCAAGTGGCATATGAAAATGAAACAATAAGCATATTTCTATTCTGGGATTTACTCTAATGCCTTCTTGACCTCTCGGTGGTATGACCTGTGTAGTCAATACCAGATTCCAACCATGTCCACCCCAATTAACCAGACTCCCCCTCTTGTTGGCTAAGTTCTTGGTTCTCTGCTTACCTCAATGTTTCTTCTCCCTGCCCCCTAATTGTTATATCGTTGAAGATTGCTAAGAGTGCTGGGTTAACGGTATCAATTAAGGTGAGATGGATATAAAGTTAAAACAAATAACTCAAACTTCCTTTCCTTCAGTTCTACCTGGAAAGAGCTGAAACAGAGGTGGGGGTTCTTGGCACGTGATCCTAGGAGATAAAGCCATACCAATACATCAGCTCCATCTGGTTCCCAACTTAAAACCATCGTATATATAAAAGTCATTTTAGTAACATCAAAACCACGGTGCATAATTGTGTGAGATAAGATTTTGCCTAAGATCCTGTCCAACGCACCCTGTGACTTCACCGGTCTTTCTTCCTTTGACCTGTGGTGTCCTTTGGAAGGGCCCTTGTGCTCCGCTGGGAGACACCTCTCTGTTGAGCTATGTGGAGACCCACTGGGCTTAAAGGCAGTAGGAAGAGAAGAGCAGCTCTGGACCTAACTATTAAACAGACCCAAACCCAGACCCTTCCGACTGAGCCCTTCACCTTGGGTGCCTTGCGTGGCCTGCCTCATGGGGTTGAAGGTACTTTGCAAGCAGAAAACAGGAGCAAAACTCTTTGTAAAGGCTCAGGCTTGTGCTGCTTAAGGAATTTCATTGCTCTCTCGCATCTTTCAAGTGGCCTAAAAGCTACCTGTTTTATTCCCCCTCAGTTTGAATTATTTTCTAAAACAAAAGGAAAGGAACAAAGTGATGAATAGAGCCCTCCAACAATTCTACAAGCCATGGCAACTTTGTGCAACCACCCAGGTCGTGGAGGACATTACTAGTTCAATGCACCCAGAGATGCTCATAACCCTGTCTCAGAAGCTTACTCCGCCCAAACTTTCAGGAACTCTAAGGGAGCCTCCACGAATCATGGAGAATCTTTGGGTTTGTCTTCCTCATGGTCTGGGTCTAAAGGTGGTGACTAAGCTCTCTTGGGCCTGCTCAGGGGTCTCACGCATGCTGGTCAAAAGAATGGGGTCAGTTTTGTGCTCTACGACGTTGAAAGGACAGGCCTTCAGGTGCTCAGACATAGAGGTGACGTCATTAAACTCCCAGCTCTCGATTTTGGAGAACAGGCTGCTGAACTGCCAGATCTGTTGGGAAAGAAGAAAAAGCTCAACAGTGAACATGGAAGCAAGATCTTCAGATTGGCTTTCTTTGAAAAGAATAAATTCTTTTCTGTGTCACTTCCTGTCCTAGAAACTGCCTCTGAAATGCCGTGACTTCTCTAGCATCCAATTCCTAGTTTCCAGTCAGTCATGGGACTTATGGGGGCAATGACTAATACAGCCTCTAGCACTGATGCTGCAGTGGGTTATGCATTTGGCTGCTAACGGCAAAGTCAGCAGTTCAAACCCACCAGCTGCTCCACAGGAGAAAGATGAGACTTTTTGCTCCCATGAAGATTTCCAGCACCCAATAGGGGAGTTGTGCTCTTTCCTATAGGGCCACCATGAGCCTGGATTGATTCAATGGCAGTGAGAGATTTTCTTTTTCCTTCTTTCATTTATTTATTTAATTAGAAAATCATTTTATTGGGGGCTTGTGCAATGCTTATCACAATCCATACATCCATCCACTATGTCAAGCACATTTGTACACTTGTTGCCATCATTATTCTCAAAACATTTGCTTTCTATTTGAGCACTTGGTATCAGCTCCTCCTCCCCCCACCCCTCTCTTCCCTCCCTCATGAACTCTTGATAATTTATAAATTATTATTATTTTGTCTTATCTTACACTGTCTGATGTCTCCCTTCACCCACTTTTCTGTTGTCCGTCCCCCAGTGAGGAGGTTATTTTTTGAGTGGGGAATTTACACAAAAACCCAAATCAAATCTATTACTCAAGTGGATTCCAACTCATAGCGACCCTATACAACAGAATATAATCACTACATAGGGTTCCCCAGACTGTGAAGGTTTCTGGGCCTTATGTTTTTCCCATGGATAGGCTCTTGGCTTTGAACCCCTAACCTTGTGGTTAGCTGATCAGCATATTGATACTGTCTCTCCTCCCCCCGCCATAGAGATTGGGTCCAGTACCGACACATGGCTCCAACCAGGACAATCCATGCCAATGAGATGCTAGACTCTAAGAACACAGAGATATCAAGATGCAGATTCCCATTTCCCTTCTGAATTTGACCCTGTTGGCATTCACAGGGCACCACCACGGGAGAATTAATTGAGTTTTACAAGGGAGCAACTATTGATGAAGTAGAAGTAAAAAATAGTAAGAAATAAGGTCCCTGGAGGACATTTTGGAGTTGCTACGTCAATCCTAATTGAAAGCTATTATCTTGAATTTTTCAGTCGTAGAAGGCCAACAAAATCCCTTTATTGTTTATGTCAGTTTTTAAAATCTTTTTCTCTCACTGCCATCAAGTCCATACAGGCTCATGGTGACCCTTCAGGACAGGGTCGAACTGTTCTCGTGGTTCCCCAGACTGTAACTTTTTATGGGAGCAGAAAGCCCCTTTAGAACAGAAAACCCATATGAGACTGCTAGGAGCTTCATTCACTCACTGTCATCGAGTTGATTCTGACTCACAGTCGAATCCGTTCTGACTCATTGTGACCCTATAGGACTCTATAGGACATGTGCCGGTGGTGAACTCTCCCTGTGGGTTCCTGAGGCTGTAATTTTTTTCACCACAGCAGAAAACCTCATCTTTTCTCCCTGGATGAGCCTGTGGGTTTGGACTGCTGACCTTGCAGTTCACAGGCCAATGAGTAAACCTCTACCCCACCAACACCCTCTGGTCTTTCACCGTGAGCTGTAGCGACAAGTCATTGGTTTTAAAATCTGCCTATGAAATTAGCCATAACTTGATACCCTTTCATTCATCCTGATTACTTTTTCCTTAGTTTTCTTGTCCCTCTTCCTATATAAGAAAGGCCCTGCCTGACATGTCACAACCATTTATCTATTTACTTTATAAAGTCATTTACTATGAGCCCCCCTTCGGACCTGACTAAATTGCCTTGCTTCCTTCCTTTCTGCATGGAAATGGGTTCGCACCAAGTGATGTCCAAGAATGGTTAGCCATCACTGAACTGGGGACAACCTTGAGCAACATAAACAATGGGGTGGCTAGGGTACACGTTTAATGATTTACTTCTGGTGTCGTAGAGAAAGGTCGTAAGCACCTCTAGACTGTCAGACTCCGGGAGGTAGGGTCTTCCTCTCACTCGCCTTTGGCTTTCACTCATGGTCAGCACTCAGGGTTTATTTAGCACATGGATGCAGCCATGCACACGGGAGGGGGGTGACCACAGTTATTTTTAGAGAGGACTGCTCACAAAGGACAAATGGAAACACATGCACATTATTCTAGACATAACCAAAGAGCTAAATATAAACAACTCTAAGTCTCCAAGACCAGTTTGCTAACACTCACGTATTGTAATGGAACTCGACAGTGTAATCATTGGCCTCACGGTGCATCACAAGTTCATGGTTTAGATGACCAATGTACTTATTCTGAAAAGGGATGCGTAGGGCACCAAGGGCACAGTGCGTTAGAAGTATCCTTTATGTACAGTTCAAGCGGATAGGAGCTGTCATGCAAGTAAGTGGTATGGCCCTATGGAGAATAAGGAACAAGATTTCTCGGAGGGGAAAAATTCTTGTTTATACAGGAGATTTTTTTCAATGACTTTTAAATTAGGTAGGATGTTTTCATTTCAGAGCATCAACTTACACAGGAGATTTTTGAAACATTAAATAAGCATTTGGACCAGGGGAAATCAGTGAACTAAATTCATTTAGCTTTTAAAAAAACCATCATTAAATGGTCCTGTTGAGAAATGGACAGTATATTGAAATTATTTCAAGATCAATTTGGAGAAAGCTATGTGTAGGCAAGCATAAGATGCAGTATGGTGTCCAGGGTTACTAACAACGAGAAGTGCTACTACGCTTGGCCTGAGAAGGATCGAGCAGGGAGGGGTACTGGAATTCAGAGAGGGTAGCTTTGTGGACAGAGCTGCCTGATCACCATCCTCTGTGAAGAGCTATAGCTGATCGCAGTGTCATCGAAGAGAGGAAGCTAGAGCACAGATATGCAAACCTCATCCTTCTCCCCCTCTTCCTTGCCCTCTCCCCCCATCTCTTGCTGACACGTTCCCATTAGATTAGGCCAGCTAGAAGCCAACGGTCAAGGTAGTCCACTGATGCAGCCTATAAAGGCCAGTCTCTTGGGGGCAGAGCAGAGAGAACAAGGAAGGGGCATGGATCATATGGGAAAACGGAAGACATTCAGGACACCATGATAAGAGATCAACAGGGTAGTGCAGGCAGTTAATGCACTTGGCTATTAATGGGAAGATTCCAAGTTTGAGTCCTCAGTGGTGCTTGGAAAGAAAGTCCTAGGGATCTACATCTGGGGGAAAACGTAGCCATTGAAACCTCAAGGCCACACAATTCCATTCTGATACATGGAGCTGTCATTAGGTTGGAATCAGATTCATGTCAAACTGGCATCATTGATGCGTGGATCCACACGTCTTCTCTAGAACCCCTTCAGCACAGGGATCATGGTCATTCCCAGCAACCCCATATTCCAGCGCCCCACATACTGATAGCCCTTAATCAACATCTGCTGAGCAAAGGAATGAATGTGTACTCGCCTCTTGGTGGACTCTCCAGGAGGTGCCGCCGTGGGAATACCTCTTCTTCTTCCACTGCAGGAGGACCATCCCTCTCTCTTGTAACAAAGTGGCACAGATGTTCCTCATCAGCACAGACACCCGGGAGAGCTGGGACAGACTGATGCTGTCCAAGAACCCGGCGATGTACTGCAAAATCTCCAGCGGCAGGCTGCTTAGAGAATTCTGGCTTTGCCTTCCAGGGTCCGAGGGACCGTGGTTCTTCGTTCCCTCACTCAGCTCTGGAGCAACTTCCGGCTTGATGGCAAAGGTCTTGAGCTCCTGACTATAGATCACTTTGGCCTTTTGCCCTGGGGGGCGGAAATGGTTTTGAACAAACGTACATCCCAAATAGGCCAGGGGGCATCGGTGCTGGAACCAGCCGTTGAGACCCGACTGAATGTCTGTGTGGACGTTCTTGAAGTGGAGGGGGAATTCATCCCTCCTGAAGAATTTATTGCAGGTGAACGTGAAGGCAGAGCTGCTCTTGTTGTGTCTCCTGGTCACACACTCGCTGTAGAGCTCCACGTGGAGGCCCCCGGGACTGGCAGCAGTCAGGTCCCCCAGCACCGTCCCCGGGGAAAACTGTTGGGCCTCAAAGTTGTAGGTCTGGGTGGCGAAATCCACGAACAGCCCGTCAATGCTCCTGGACTCGGAGATGACGTGGCCTTTGAGTTCTCTTTCCAAAGCGCACTGAAGGGTGGTCTTGATGAGATCAGATTTGGGCAGTTCCTCCACCGTGAGCCCCAGATCCGAAGTGTCCACGGCCTTGTGCTCACTGGGCCTGCAGCTCAGCATGGCATCGCCAACTTGGGCCCGCTTCCCGCAGTAGCTCACCGGGACTTTGAAGGTGTGCACCGTCTTAACTTCCTGCGCCTCCAGGTTGCCATAAACAAAGTCTCTCTCCTTAGGCGTACACGCCGGCATCTGACCAAAGTGGATCAGCATCCGCCCGTTGTGCACCAGATACATATTATAGTCCTTGGCATCCACAGCAGTTTTTAATCTTTCCAGAACACCATCCTGCCAAGGGGCAAGCCCCGTGGTCTCCATGGCTGCGTGGAAGTCGGGCTGCTTCTGGTTTCCCAGTGGTTCTCTCCCTTGGGTCGGGCCCTCGCCTTCCACCTCGTGGCGGCTGTGGGGCAGCTGGCCTTGCCCTGCTGCGCCCCTGCCCTTGCTCTCACGGTTGGCAGGTGAGCTGGTCAAGGCGGAGGCAGCATGCTCTTTGCTAAACACAGTTTCCCACTTGTCAAACTGGGCCAGATCCATCCCTTCTTTGGTCTTGGCTAGCGCCTCTCGTTCTTCTTGACTCAGCTCTGCCGTCTTGCCGTCGGGCAGGCACCGAGGGCCCAGCGAGGCCACACGGGGAGCCGCTCCCCCCGCCACTTCGCACGAGGCCTCCCCAGTCAGGGCTGGTTCCTCCTCCGTGGCCTCTCTCGTTTCTGGGAAAAGTTCCACCATTTTTAAGGACCTGAAAAGGTCCTTCTGGTCCTGGAGGGCCAAGGCGGTGTCTAAACACTCCTCGCTGGGGACCTCTTTCATAATGTTCTCGTGGAGGGGCGTCTCCGAGTCCACAGTGGGCCAGCGGTTCCACTCCATGGAGCAGGAGACCACACTGGCCGGACAGCCCTGCAGGTGCATGGCCAGCTTGCGGCGGGACATGGACAGCGGGCAGCCGTATTCGGAGTTGAGGCAGGGTACCTGCTCCAGAGGGCAGAGGAGCTGGTGCTCGGCCTCTTTGCACGTGTGGAACGTGGCCCCGCAGAGCAGGGGGCAGCTCATCACCGGGCAGGAGACGCTGGCCTGCACAGGCACGTGGCAATGGCGGTGGAAGCATCCCTCACAGTGTCTGTGCGGGCCAACCAGGGGTCGGCGCGCCTTGCCCTGCAGGGGCAAAGGACAGGAGGGAGAGAACACAACACATGAGCCCCAGAAGGGCGACTCGACGTGTGTCTGTGACGCTGTTTTCATGGACCTACTTCCTTTTTATACATGCTTCTGATTGTAGCAGCCCATCCCAAAGAGAGCAGAATTCACGCCTCCGTCCACAAAGCCAGAAGCTAACTGTCAACTCTGGACTTTGCCGTTCTTATAGTGTGCGGCAAATGTACTTAGAATCGGTGGGAGGGGGCGTCTGGGAGGGGGGCACACAGGACAGTAGGGAAGGGAGTCTGAATGGAATAGATTGCAATGTTGACAGCATTCTATCTGAGTTGTGGATCATGAGCCATGTATTTTATTTTGAACAGTCTTATTAGCATTTCATCCACATGCTGTACAATTCAATAATTCAGCCATATCAAGAAGAGCTGGACAATGATCACCACAGCAAATTCAAAAACATGTCCTGCTTCCTTGTACTCCTTGTTATTCATGTACAGTGAACCCTCGTTTATCACAGTTAATCAGTTCTAGACCCTACCGTGATAAATGAAATTCCGCGAAGTAGGATTCCTTATATCCAGAAGTTTTACCTTTTCCTGGATGGTGAGCATCTTCCTCTGGCACTTATTTTTATTGTCAGAAGGCTTAGAAGAAGCAGCTCGTTTAGGAGCCATCACAGGGCTTAGATAAAATTTCTTAAAAATCACAAACAATTACAGTACACTGTACAAAAGCAAAAATGCATCTGATACGTAGTTCCGATACGTAGCGATGCAGACAGAAGCGTGTACAGTATGAGCCAATCAGTGGCAATAATGACAGAGCATGCACTGTTACGCAAAAACCGCGATAGAGTGAAGCCGCGGAAGTCGAAGCGCGAAGTGGCGAGGGTTCACTGTAATTATTTTTCTTCTAATTGTGGCAAAAATATACATAACAAAATATTCTCCAACTCCACAACTTCTACACATGTAATTCAGAACCATTGATGATACTCTTTGTGTTGTACAACCATTATTGATATCCTTTTCCGAATTATTCCCCCACTGTTAACATAAGCTCAAGCCATTGACTTTATACAGCTAATGGCATGAACACCATTTTGCCTCCTGCTTTCCAACTTGCTGTTATAACCTAGTACTAGACTGCTTATTATTCATTATTCTTTGCGAATTCTTTCCATACTGGCAGGGTAACATGACAGAACATGGGTGTGCTATCCTTCATCTAACCAGGCACCAGCAGGTGTGCTGGCAGGAGAGAAGTCATGTCTGGCTTTGCTCACAGTGGCAGCCCCAGCAATTGTCATGGGACCTGGGACTGTGGTAGGAAATCAGTAATATTAGTTAAGTGAAGGAGTTGCCATGCATTTAAATTATTGTCAGCTTTTTTTCTAACTTAGAAAAAAACATTACTAGAAATCTTTACCGATAAATCTTTCTCACTTCTAATGCTTTCTATCTGCCATGTTTCAATTTCTTCCAGATTCTTCCCCAGAATCTCTGGGTTTAGCAAAAATCTGTTAAGTACCAGCAGACCATGAGGACACATATGCCAGTTGCTGAGGCTGCTGTCGGAAAGAATCAGGCCTGCAGCTCTGAATGGTGAAGGTCCAATAAGCCCCTGCTACTTACCATGGTTGTCCAATTTCTTGGTGCTTCTTAACTCTAGGAGAAAAGATGAAAATTTCAGTGATCAATAAGAGATCCTCTGAGATTGCCACCCTTAGTCGCCCTGCAGCTTTGAAATGGAAATGACTCATATGGTTTAATTTTCAGCACCCCAAACCTAAGGATCTATAAGGGAAACAATAATACTAGGGAGGTATGCACTCCATAGAATAACCAGCCATTTGTGATCAAAAGGACTGCATTCACCCAAGGACAGAGTTCAAAGTGGTTGGGAAAGAAGGGAAAATGTAAGCGGGAAGCATAAGGAGGAAGTGGGCTGTTATATGATGGGGATTGCATCAAGGAAATGAAGCAAAATGCATATAAATTGCTAATGGAAAACTGATTTGCTCTGTAAACCTTTATCCAATTCATGGTAAAAAGTTAAGAAATTATTGTGATTCTAGTAACAGAAGCCCAAACAAAACAAACTCAGCCAATGATTGAGTTCCACCTATCTGTCATTGCCTCATCTTACAGTAAGGAGAGCCTTGGTGGGGTAGTGGTTACACACAGGGCTGCAATCCACACGGTTGACAGGTCTCGACCACTCGCCACTCTTTGGAAGCAAGACAGACTTTCTCCTCCCGTAAAGAGTTACAGTCTCAGAAACCCATGGGGCAGTTCTACCTGCCCGAAGGGGTTGTCTGAGTCAGCACCGACTTGATAGCAGGGTGTTTTGGTTTTTGTTTGTAGTGTGCAGGAAAAGTTGGAGATGTTAGTCAGGGGGACACACCAAGCCATGCTGGCCCATGCTCTTTTTATGGAGCACATTGCTCTCTGATGGGTCAAATTGAAAATTATGGGACATGTCATTGCTGGTTTCTTTTCTCCATTGTCCACTGACAATTATCTTGAGGTTCCAAACCCTTCTACAGCTGTCCCAAGTTGCCTTCTTTCCTACTGGGGTTTCCTGTCCACTCAGTAGCCAGCCCGATGCCCATCTTGATCAAGGACCTTGTCCTGAAAGCATCTACCACCTGCCTGCCCTTTGCACTGGGGAATTCAGCTGTGCTGCAGCTAGAGGAGCGGAAGGCAAAGGCTCCAGAAGCAGCCTCAGCAGGGACTCTGGAAGCACAAGAGTGAATGCCTTGCTTTCAGGCGAGTGCGGCTACCGAACGCTGGTCAACCAGTCCCGTGTGGAACACTCCCACATCTCGGTTTTTTTCCGTGAAGATGAGAATGTACGTGTTGAGAGTGGCAGTGTATGATGTCGTGGTGAGGAGTAGTCAGACTGCACTCTTTTCAACACTAGGTCCGACAAGTCAGTATTTGTGAGACTTTGGGAAAGTTAGCTAAGCTCTTTGTGTATCAGTTTCCCCATCTGTGAAAGGAGGATAATACCAGGATCTCTCAGTGTTACTGGGAAGGTCAAATTAGTTAATATATAAGAAACTCTTTCACTCCCATGTCCCTCCGGGGCCATTGGTCCCTTTATTTTCTTCTCATATATATATTTTTTGGTCCAATTTCTCTTATCTAGGTGGGTGTACATA